CCCCCCCCCCCCCCCCCCCTCCCCAGTGTTTAGACGAGGCGATGTAAACAGTGCACTTGCATAAAACCTTTTTAGCAACATTAAACCATTATTTTAGGTTTTCGACAATGAAACTACGTCTCTTCGGGGCTCGTAAACGCATCGAAAAATTATCCTCATTTATCAGTTAAAGTTTTACCTTGATTAAGCCATTGTCCTTTCCTTCATTCAGTTTTTTAAACACGCACTGTTTCCAGCTACCGATGCCTGAAGAGCCGAGACCTCCTTGAGCCCCTGGCTCACCCTTGTCTCCTTTTGAACCAACCGGGCCGACAGGTCCTCTGGCACCGTCATTCCCGCGGGGACCCTCCTTACCGGATGGTCCCATAAGACCAGGAGTTCCTGGAGTACCTGGAATTCCTGGCACACAGCCACACCCTCTAGTACCGGGACACCCCATACCGAGTGGTCCCGCGGAACCAGGCATACGGCCACCTCGGCAACTTCCGCAAGATGATTTTCCTGATGAAGCCTGCAAATGAATGGAGGAAAAATCATGTCAGATTCAGAAAACTCCTAATATTCAACGCTTAGCCATCTATATCAGCAACTTGACGTTGGTAAAGGTCAATATTAGCCGCCGTCAATAGTGAAGCTTTCATTTTGAGCGTTAGCCAATGTCCTGACGAAGGGTTGGCGCTCGAAAAGAGTCAGCTTCCCTAACTAAACGGTGATTCAAGTCAATACATAGCAAAGCGTTTCACTCGCCCAAACAGTTTAGTCTTCAAAAACCTTATACCCTAGTTCTAATAAACAATTAGATTATGAGCTCGAGATTTCTATGACAGTTTGGGTTGAAAATATCTGCTGAATGTGTTCGGAAATTAGTGGATTCTTTATCATAAAACAAATAAAGAAGCCTCGGATACTCCACTACGTCTCGTGTTTCCCCCTACACTTCTTAATATGTGCTCTACCGCTTCTAGCGTGCTTACAGCAGAACAGATCACAGTCGAGGCTTCTTTACTTGATGAATAAACACTTTCTTTTGTTCTAATAAATTTGCATGACTGTCGGCCACCTGAGTGAAAACTCTCTAATGGTGTGCCACTGTGGTACACCGTTAATGTGGCCAAAGAAGGTCTGAAAGAAGAAAAAAGGATCGTACGGTCCTAATCATGACTTTTCTTCGTGAAATTCTCCTGTAGTTTTCACTTTTAACTTTGAAAAGCATATATAAAATTATGTAAAAGTAAAGTCGGCGGTCAAACATACTAAAACTCTCTATCTCTCAAACGAAACACTCCGCTGAAACAAACTCAAACTTCATGAATTCCTATCAGTAATTAGTGAAACTTACGTACGTCGAGAAAATGCTAAAAGCACAACCTGTACATCGCAGTATCTTCGCATTACATTGCCTTCATATCTTATTACATTGTCTTCATATCTTTCTCCGCAGTTCAAATAATTATATGATCTTTCATATATTCACTTGTATATTGTAGTATCGATAGTTTTCAATTAACAATTTCTCCACGACTTCACAAAAAACAATTGGACTCAAACGGCTTTTGCTCCATCAGCTATTATTTTGATAATGATCCTTACAATCTCTGGCGTGCAATGAACTAAGCGCTAACCCTGCACATTCATATGAGATATAATCATAACTGAAATGATCTTCGTATATTTCTAGATACTGCAAGGTGTTTTAACACTTGTATGGTTCATTTTTTGCACAGGTCCTACCGGTTTTGAGCAGCATCCGCCATATAAAGTAGCGTAGGACGTGCAGGGTAACTGCAGAACTGCCAGTAGGGTGAAGTGAACTGTCAGCATCATGTTCAACCTAATGAGATATAAAATTAAAAAAAAAAAAATGTGCGTGTAGATGGAACGGTTTTCATTGAGTATAGAAAGTAAGTCACATTTACCTTGATTTTGCATTACTTCGCCAATTGATTGGGTTAAAAAAACTGGCGCCACTTTCTCATCCAATCAGAAGTGACACGTATTTGCTTGGATTTTTGATTGGCACACTGGATTGTCTATATCCGTTGTGACTGGCTAGTGACTACAGTGCATTGGCTTTAGCTTTATAACAGTCAATATGATAACTGTCTTTGGTCGTATTTACCTGGGAAGGCGATTAAAGCCTCTCAGACTTCTTATTATGGTTTCATTGTAATCCATCAATATTTTCGCTCGCGCGAGATTGGTCAAAACGCGTCACTCTGACTGAATATGCCCCGTAGTGTGCATTTCGTGCCTATTTTAGTACTACTAAGGATTATTATATCTCAGTTAGTAAGCGCGCTGTGATTGGTCGATTTAGCGAGCCGTACTCTCCTGTGCGGCCCGCTAAAATTTAAAGTTGGTTTTGTTGCCAAACTGTTTTGTGATTCATCGCTAAGTGTTCTTTACTTTCATAGTAAGTGAAAGTTTAGAACTTTCTTATTCTCTAAATTGTGTAATAAAGCGTGCTAACGACTTAAACAATTTCAAATTGACTCGTTTTGCTTTGAAGCCTTTCGGAGTCTGCGTCAATAGAAATCATTTCCGAACCCGTCAGGATCACAGTAGAGATATAATAAATATCTTACTAACCTCGTATTCTCGGTCCGTACTGTAAGTTACGGATCCTCGTTTGTTTTTTTCCCCTTCGATTTATGACCCGCGCGCTTCGCGCTTGGGCCATAAATCGAAGGGGAAAAAACTCGGTCCGTAACTTACAGTACGGACCTCGAACTCGGTTAGTAAGAGGTATTAAATACCATTTGCATTCGTTTATTTTTCATCGCCTCGTGTTTTTGCAGCTAAAAAAGCCGGGCATTCACATGTAGAATATCAAGTAAAAATGAACGTCGCCAAATTACCAATCTTCAACAACACGTCTCGTCAGCTTCACAGCAGATCAATGTCACAACCTTTTCTTATGCACATAGGCAACCAATGCTATTGGACAAGGAACTTGCCCTGGGGGTGGTTATTTTAAACTAAACAGGAAAAAAGTTATTCCAATTGCGCTTATCAACTTTAGAACCTTTTTTATTTGTTTTGAGCAACAAAGAGTGCTCTACGTATGAAAGTTTTGGGGTTATTAATAAACACGGAAAAAATTAAGTTACTTTAGTTGCCCTTTATTTCAACGACTTTTTTTAACAATTAGTGATTAACATGAGAGATTTGACAGAAAGTCAGATGAAAAGAAAACGCCTCAGAGCAGGTTTACCTCCCTAATAATTGCTATCAGTCCCTGCCTGTTTGTACAGTCTCTGAAATGATACGACGACAATAGAAAACAAGTCCTTCTCAGCAGTTTCCATCGCTTTTAATTTATTGTTAGCGACGTGTTTACACGCTCCGCGCGCTTGATTAGAGACCTTTAGATCCAAGTTTGCCGCAAATGTCTACAATGAATCTGAAGTAGAGGCGCTTCTGCAGAAATCAATCATTCTCATTTTGCTGCATTTAATATCGATAGGCAATTAGTCCAAAGCAGTATATATACAGCATTTAGTTTGTACTGAAAGCCAACTGGAGTTCAGTAAAGTTAAATCACAAGGTTGAAATAAATGAACAAGTGAAAACAAGTAGAATTACTGATTTAGAAAATAGAATTCATGGTCTTCCGACGAAAGTCGAACCAAACACCTTTCATATACGGTTAGACGTTCTAACCACGTGCTGAAATATGGGAATTACGTACTAATGCAAGGACGTAAGCTAGATTCTTATGTTGACGTACTAGCTAACTTCTAAGTCGAATAATATTAAACTGACCAAAGTTATTACAGCTGAGCCACTTCTTCTTCATTTCTTTCACCTTCAGTGAACTCACCATCACATCATTATTTAATATACAGATTAAAAAATTAGCTTTTTGCTTACTCACCGAAAGAACACACATGCATAATCTTAACTTGTCAATAAACCCGTGGCGTGCATTTCGCGTTTATTTTAGTATTTAGTCATTTTTCTGCTACTGTGGCTAAATACGATTTGCACTCGTTTTCTTTAATTTTCAACTTCATTTGCCTCTTTTTTCAGCTAAATAAAGCCAAGCGTGCATGTGCAAATCAAAAGCTAACATGACCAACACCGACTTATCCAGCTTCAACACGTCTCGTCAGCTTTACAGCAGGTTAATAGTGTTTCTGTTATCATCGTATGAACATTTTTATACACACGGGCAACCAATGGTATTAGACAAGGAACTTTTTGTGGCTATTTATAAACAAGGAAAAAGTTAAGTTATTCTAATTGCGCTTATTAACTCCAGAACTTTTATTTATTAATTTATTTTGAGATTCAGTTAGTGATTAACTTATAAACATGTCCTTACTAGTCTCCATCGCTTTTAATATATTTTTAGCGACGTGTTTACACGCCCTGCGCGCTTGATTAAGTAGAAGCGCTTCTGTGGAAATCTAAATAATTCTCATTTTGCTGTTTTTAATATTGGTTTTTAATATTCAATAACGTTTCTAATATACAAACACTTATCATATACACACAGGCTACCAATGATATTAAACAAGGAACTTTCTATGGTTATTTTTAAAATGAACAAGGAAAAAGTTAGTCCGATTGTGCTCATTCACTTAAGCAGCTTTTTTTATTTGTTTTGAACAACAATATAAGTGATTAGCGTATGAATGGTTTGCTGTTATTAATAGAGCGGTTTTCAATTGAGCGTCTTAAAACCAAAAGTA